ACAATTAACACAGAAAAAAAGGGAAAAGAAACATCATCGTCTTGTCATTATCAAACCGAACAAACAAAAACAACAACAACAAAAACAAATGCTAAAGTCAACTTACCAACTCCACCTGCTATTCCTCCTCCTCCTGCAAGGATAAGACGAGCATCTGCTTGTTTGCAATCCCACGATTCATCATCATTATTAGATCCCAGGCATTCCAGTTTAAATCAAAGACGTTCATCTTCTCCTTATCAAAATTATTCCGGAGTTATTGAAAACGATTTATTGAAAACATATTTACAAACTCGTAACAATTCTTTAGTTAACACAACAACAACAACAACAACATACAATAATTCACACACTCAATTAAATTCCCTACAATCGAGCACAAATTCATTACACAATGGAAAAGAAACCGAAGAATTTAAAAACCCACAACAACAACAACAACTAAAAGAACTAACTACTAAAAAAGGTAGTTTTACGTCACAGCCCACGATTATATTACCAAACAATTACTACGAATTGCAAAGACAATCTACCCTTAACAAAGAAAATAATCAAAAAACTAAAATAACACATTTTAAAACGCACAATAATACTTTTTCCACGACAAACGAATCAAATTTTGGAAATAAATCATCTAATTCGCAAAATCCGTTATTGAATCGTTCTACTACAGAAAGCAGTGAATCCGGAATCGGTAGTACCAACAATGGAACTTTCGGCGACAAATCACCACCTTCCGGTAGTAAAGTATCCGTTCGTCAAGATTCAAACGTGTCCAGCGACAGCGTTTCACAAACATCATCCCCTAGTTACACGACGAAAACGATGGAAACTCCACTTTTGCTTCATCACAATCGTAAAGTGAGTACAATTTTCTTTTTTTTTTTCTCTCTCAAAAACCTACTGGAAATTATTAATATGTTAAAAATTTTCCAGGCTAACAAACAAAATCTTTGTGATTTAATAAATGCAGCTCAACAAAATGCTGCTAATAATGCAGCCTTAACAAAAAGTGTATCGACACCTGCTAGCTTACAAACATGCGTTAAATTTTCCGGTTCGAACATGACGCTTCAGCACAAGGTACAAATACAAAAAATGTTTCGCGCCTTTTTTTAATTACGTTCCAGTAAATTTTGTTTTTTTTTTTTTAGATAATAAGAGATATAAGGCGTTCGTCGTCGCACTACATAACACGTGGTAAACTTAAATTTCGTTTTGTTCAAGTCATTGTTAATGCTTTAGCTTTAATGGCCATCGCTGGAGGACTTGCTGCCTATTTTAAATCACATCCTACGACTGTCAGATACGTTAACAAAACGATAACGACAACGATAGCCGTCGTACCACCGGAAACGAATCCGGCTCCAGGTATTTTTTTCTTTATAACAACCCACGTGGGCACGTGTAATTAAAAACTTATTACTAAAAATTATGTTTTAGGTTTCTGCTTCAAGTTGATTGTTGAATTTTGCGCAAATCACAAAGTTCCTTACAATTTCACTACTTTTCCAAATCACGTTGTTAATATGAATCAAGATCAGGCAGAACAGGTCGGTATGATATTAACAAAAAAATTTATTACAAAAACAAACCATCTTATTCTGCCTGTCCGATTAATAATAATAATTGTAAGGGACTCGGTGATAAATTGCAGATTAAATTGTCATGATAATAATAATAATAAATGCATAATTTTTTAAAAGAGAAAACAAAACAAAAAAAAAAAAATTTTTTTAGGATTTTGTCTCAAAGTGGTTGTGGATTTCTGCATTTATCATAGAGTGCCATATAATTATACTAGGTTTCCATCTCGTCTTCACGTCAATCAAGCAGGTCCGAAACAGGTAACGATAAAATCCTGGACAGGCATTCCCCCCTTACCCCTTTATCCCACGGTTTGTTTAAAAAAATTTTTTTTTTCTTCTCCAGGAATTAGATTTATATGATGCGTTAGTTGATGTGCGTTGTTACGAACTTTCCGCTCTTTTTCTATGTTCCGTATTCGTTCCAAAATGTGGAAGACAAGGTGAACTTTTATATCCTTGCAAATCATTGTGCGAAGGTAAAGGTTTTTTCCAAAATTTCCAGCCATAAAATATTTTTATACAATTTTTCCATGTGGATAAATTTTTTTTTTTTTTTTTTCCAGAAACCAAAAGACGATGTGGATTTTTTTTGGAAGTTTTCGGTTTGCCAGCTCTACCTGAATATTTAATGCAATGTAATTTACTACCGGATTCTGATGATCCCGATGCATGCGTCGGACATAGAGAAGTACGAGAGGCAAGAATAAGAGCACAGAAACCTTGTGAGTATATCATCACAACCCTCAGGAAACAGAAGTAACCGTAATAATAATAATTTTTTTTTTCCAGCTTGTTCCAGCGATGGATTCTTATGTGATATAACAAGATGCATACCGTTAGATTGGAAATGTGACGGTCATTTAGATTGTGAAGATCAAACGGATGAAGAAAACTGTGATACTAGATGCGCTCCTGGAATGGTACACTGCGGAGAAAACAGATGCATGAACGTGTCAAACGTCTGTGATGGAATAATAGATTGTCCCTACGGACAAGACGAAAGAAATTGCAGTAAGTCTTTACTATTATTATTATTATTATCAATACGAAAACTTGAAAAAAATTTTCTTTTTACGCGTAGTAAGATTACAAGAAAAAATGGGAGACGTGGGAAGGGGTTTACTACAGGTTTTTAGTCCGGAAACGGATGAATGGGTTCCAGCATGCGTATCAAATTGGGACAATAAATATTCGGCTCAAGCTATTTGTTCTTTGATGGGATACACGTGAGTTTAAATAATAATAATAATAATAATAATAATAATAATGATAATTTCTTTTCGAACGAAACCGTTTTTTCACGCAGATCCGCCAATTATACAAGATTAATTATAAAAGATACCAACGTTGAAGTTCAACCACCTCAAACGGTTAATTTAACTGATTATAGGAAAAAAATGAACTGGATAAAAGATTTTAGGTCATGTGGTCTCCATCATTATCCGATTGTTAATTTGGAATGTAGACATTACGGTTTGTTTTTCCATAAAAAAATTTTCTTTTTAGTTTAGTTTAGTTTTCCTAATTTAAAAACAATTGTTGATCGTATGTAATAGAATGTGGAAAAAGACGAAATCCCGTAGCTTTTCATTCGAAAAGAATCGTTGGAGGATACCAAAGCCAACCTGGAGATTGGCCATTTTTAGCTGCTTTATTGGGTGGACCTGAAGAAATATTTTATTGTGCTGGAGTTTTAATAGCCGATCAATGGGTTCTCACGGCTTCACATTGCGTTGGAAAGTAAGTACTCATTACTCACATCCGACGGGTACCTTAAGACATTTTATGTTGTACAATGAGAATATTTATCCAGTTACAGCGAAAGTAATTTAAGCGGATGGAAAATTCAACTTGGAATAACCAGACGACATTCTCATAATTATTACGGTCAAAAGGTCAAAGTTAAAAGAGTTATTTCTCATCCTTTATACAATGTCGGTGTCAATCACGACAACGACGTGGCTTTATTTCAGGTACCCACATCGTTTTCTCTCTCTTTCTTTTTTTTTTAACGTAAGAAATAAATAAAAACGTTTTTTTTTTTTTTTTTACAGTTAAAACATCCGGTTAATTTTAACGAGCATTTGTTACCCGTTTGCCTTCCTCCTCCTGGAAGAGAACTTGTGCCTGGAATGAATTGCACTGTTATCGGTTGGGGTAAAAGTGAAGATCACGAAGGTAAAAATACCATTTTTTTTAAAATGAATACTAAAAGACATTTCGACTGATTATAATTATTATCTATTAAGGTTCCGAATACGAGCCAGCCATTAACGAAGTCGAAGTACCCGTCATTAACAGGCAATTGTGTAACGAATGGATGATATACAGAGATTTAAACGTCACAGATGGTATGATATGTGCAGGTTTAGCAGAAGGTGGTAAAGACGCTTGCCAGGTAAGTAATTTTACATATATATCGAAAAATTCATTCGGGAAATTTTCAAAACATTCGGGAAAATTTTTCTCTAAAGGGCGACAGCGGAGGACCTTTGTTGTGCCCTTTTGATAAACATAAAAAACGATGGTTCGTTGGGGGCATAGTGAGTTGGGGTATAAAATGCGCACATCCGCAATTACCTGGAGTTTACGCATACGTTCCCAAATACGTTTCCTGGATTAGAGAACAAATGAATAAATTTTCCGATTGAGAAGACGCCAATTCTAGGAAGAAAAAAAAAATTAAAAATCGGCGGAAGCCAAATTTTAGAATTTTTCCACTTCAAGAAAATCCCGCCGAGTCGGATTTTATCAAACCCGGATTCGTTAATAATAATCCGGAATTCGATTTGAAAATAAGTTTACCGAAAGATAAAAATTTTAAAAATTATTCGTTGACTTTAAATATTAAAAATAATAATAATAATTAAAAGAACATTCGAGAAACGGTAAAAATTAATGTGACGCACGTGTGGTGATGATGCAACAACAACAACAACGGTTTTTAAGGGGTTTCCTTACCCTTAACCACCACCTACCCCCGATATGTCGCTCTTATCGTACAATTTTATCATTATTATTATTACTAACAACGAAAACAAACAAACAAACAAAAAACAAATTTCCACGTGTATTTTTCATAACGAGTATTATTTACTCGACTTCAAACGTATTAATTTATCCAAAGGGATCTCAAAATTATTAATTAATTAATTAATTAATTAATAACAATTAAAGAAATTATGACGTCATAAAATTTGACCGTTATTTTTTTTACCGGACAATAATTTAAACAATAACAAAACGTTTACAATTGAATCTTCCATGTAATGACAATACATTTATACGATTAGCGTAGGGAGAAAAAAAAAATTGTTTTGTTTTTAAATGTCACGTGATTAGGTGATCACGTGATCGCGTGATAACGATAAGCGTTAAATGTTTCGCTTATCATTTAAAAAAATAACGGCTTGAATTTAATTTATATTAATATATATATCATAGGACTGTTTGCTTTTCCGACTTTGCATTAGATGAAAATTAATAATAATAATAATTAATTAATAATAATATTAATAATAATAATAATAATGTTAATATCTTCAGAGTTTATTTATTATTGTATAGAATTTATAAAGAATTATGGAGACTTTTTTTTATATACATAAAAAAAAAATATTTATTATGAGAGTCAATCAATCAAACAAAAAATTAATTAATTAATTAATTAATAATTAATAGTTTATTAAAATCGTAGGGCCTCTACCTCTTATCTCGTTATCACTACAATTATTGTTATGATAAGGATATTAAAAAAAATGTCGCTTTAAAAAAAATAGACTTAAAAATTATTTTATTAAATGTTTATATATATTAGGGCGTATTATTATTATTATCAATTATTTTAGACTCTTGTTGCTTAATTAATGTTTATATATATGATGACGTTTGATAATAATAATAATAATAAGTAACTTCTTAAATCGAATTTATATAAAAATAATTAAAAAATAATAAAAAAAAAAAAAAATTTAGGATAACTTTAAAAAGTGCTTTAAAAACTAAATGCAAAAGCCAGCCAGTCAGCCACGTGTGTGTGTGCGTGTGTTTGTACGTGCGTATCCGTGTGAAAATGTTTGTTAAAAACAATCTGCTTAAATGTTTTTTTTTGACAAAAAAAAAAATAATATTATTATTAATTTTTTAGATGGGTAAACTATTGTTGTTTGTTTGTTTGTTATTTTTAATACGATAATTTTATGTCTTAATATTATTATTATTAGAATATTATCTATTTAAAAAAAAAAAAAAAAGAAGCCTTCTTAAAAGTAAAAGAAAATTATGGAGAATTTTCTCCGTCCGAAATAAATAAAAAAAAAAATTTTTTTCCCTCCCCCTTCCCCCACCCACCAACCCCTCTTCTTCCCAGTAATTAATTTTTACGATCTCATAAGATATTTAAATATAATTTTTGTATCACTCGCTCTCTCATTCTCTCTCTCTCTCTCTCTCTCTCTAACGTAATAAAAAATTAATTTAATAATAATAATAATAATAATAATAATAATAATAATAATAATAATAATAATAATACATATTGGCACTTTTTGCATATCAAAATAATATTTAATAATATACATAAATAAATAAATAATTTTTTTTAGTCCTATTTGAAAATTAAGATATTTAATAACATAATTTATTAAAAAAAAACCTAATTAATAAATTTTCTTATCGACATATCAGTCTCTCTCTCTCTCTCTCACTCACACACATTTCATTAATATATTTATTTCCAATTAAAAAAAATTAGGTAATAAGCTGGTGTTAAATGTTAATTGCTGCAAATATATATATATATATATATATATATATATATATATATTATGTTAATTATTAAATCGTTTTCGATTATAAACAATTCTTTTTTTGTTTATTATAATTGTTTAAATAAATAAATTGTGTTTAAATGTTAGAAACATTCTACGTCACATAAAAATTTTCTTTTTTTTTTTTTTTTTTGGAATAAATGTTTTGAAATAATTAATAATTTCGGTCGATATTATGCTTTATATACTTTTATTTACTCTATGGTTTTTCATTTGTTTAGATTAATAATAATAATAATAATAATAATAATAATTGATAAATTAGGATTATTTATAAGTTAGTGAGTGAGCTTTATAATAACAAACGTATACTTTTATTATGTTGAAAAATATAATAATAATAATAATATATTTTTAGATATTTATGTATTATAAATTAATTAGATATAAATATTCTAACATTTAAAAACAATTCGGTTGGGAAAAAAACAAAATAATAATAATAATAATTATTCTAATGACTTTTCTTTTCTTTACTATAAAAAAATCAGAAAAATTAAAAACAAGAAAAAAAAAAAAATTTTGGCGAAACTTATTTAATTCATCACGCACAAAATTTAATCTAAAAATTAAAAAACTATTCACCTGCACTAAACACTCCTGCACTAGAATAATTATATAACTTGTTTTTTTATAATAATAATAATAATAATAATAATAATGAAAAACCTATTTTAGATAATAATAATAATAATAATAGTTATCTACTGTTAAGTATACTTTTATATGCCGACAAATTGTGTGCTCAATATATGTTTAGTTGTTCTAAAAAAAAAAAATTTTAACATTTTTAAAAATAAAAAATCCTTTATTATTATTATTATTATTTTTAATAATGTAATTTGACACTTGCATCAGCAAGCTATTTTTAACATTTCTTCGATGGTAACAATTTTTTCTCTCGGTTTTCCTTTTATTTTTCCACGTTTTTCTTCTTCCCTATCGATTTTTTCCCAATCTTCGAATCGAACGATTTGAATACCTGTAATAATTATCATTATTTTCACATTAAAAACATTCCTGACAAGACTATTTTCATTTCAATTCGAAACGAGGATTATACCTTTTTTATTAACCAATGATAAAATATTTTCCGAACCGGGTTTCCCATTCTCGACGTCGAGTAATTTTTCTTCTATGTCTTTTTGTATTATTTGAGCTGTTGTAAAAGCATTATTCATTGTTGATAGTATGACTCCTACAGGACCTGTTGAAACCCAACCGCTACTATAAAGTCCTAAAAATTACAAACGTGTCGTTAAGAAAAAGAAAATCCTTCACTTCATTCTAATCAAACAATTATCTATCTACCCGGTAATATTCTTCCATTTTTATTTTCTATAATTCCTTTTTTAAAATCGAAAGGTATGTTAGGTTCGGCTTGAATGCTTTTGTATCCTACGCAAAACCAAAAAAAAAAATTAATACTTTGTTCGATTAAAGTGGGGGGTGGATTTGAGTTATTTCATACCGATGCTCCTCAAACATAAATCGCAAGGTATCTCAATAATTTCATTTGTTATTTTTGCCGTTTGAGTTTCCACATTTTCCCCTTCCAAAACGTTAACACCCGTTCGAATTTTCTCGACTTTTCCATTTCCCAATAATTCTAATGGAGTTCTTTTAAATATGATTTGAAATTTTTTTTCATTATTCATTTCATTATTCATATCATTTTTTATTGATGTATTATACATGAGTTCCGTTAATCTTTTTCTCGGTCTACCTAAACCTTAAAGATAAAACCAAAAATGTATAAAAATAAATTAACTTTTTTTTTAACATTAAAAACCTTACCTGGAATTATTTTTTCAATTTCCACAAAATCATTCCTATCGAGTATAGTACAAACTCCAGGCATTTTTATCATTTCTCTCAATTCTTTAATTGTGCAAGCGATTTGAAGGGGCCCCCTTCGTCCTATCAAACAAACATTTTTAACTTTGGATCCGTTTAATGCTTCCAAAGCATATTCTGTGATGTCTGTGTGCTAAAAAAAAATTTTTTTTTTCTCTAACTTTTACCGTTAAATTATATAAGTTTACGTCATCGTACTAACTTTCAATTTGTCAATTGGCGACAAAAGAATTCTAGCCACGTCTATGGCCACGTTTCCTTGCCCTATTATAACGGCATTTTCACCATTTAAATCCACATTTAAATTCCTGTCGTTTGGTAAACCGTTATACCAACCGACAAAACGACGAGCGGAAATGACGTTTTTTAATTTTTCACCCTCTATGTTGAGTTTTCTATCTTCTTCCGCTCCATACGTCTAAAAAATTACGTCACGATTCTTTATAACGAAATTAAAGGTTTTTGTAATTTTTTTTTTTTTTTTTTTTTTCGCTTACTCACAAGTAAAACGACATGATAAGAATTAATTAAATCTTGAAGTGTTATGTCGATTCCTAAACAAATGTTCCCGTAAAAATTAACATTTGAATTTTTAGCCGTTTTGGTAAAAGTGTTTATAACGTTTTTCACGTCTGCGTGATCTGGAGCGACGCCGTAACGAACCAAACCGAAAGGTACAGGAAGACGTTCGTAAATGTCTACGACCACGTTGGGCGATATCTAAAAAATTTTAATATCACGGGTAAGTGTTGATAAAAAAAAAACTTACGATAAATTTTTATTATTATTTACCTTAATCAATTGTTGAGCACTGTAAAAACCGGCAGGACCACTTCCTACGATGCATATTTTTATACCAGAAGTATTACTACATGAGTATTTTCGGATAATGGGATTTTTCCATTTAAAAAATGGAGAAAATAAATTAAATTTTATCATTTTTTGTTTTTTTTCTTAATTAATTATTTATAAAAATTTATTGTACGAATCTAAAATAAAAAATTTTCCATTAAATAATAATATTTGGTTTTTTTTTTTTTTGTTTTAGGTGATGGCAATTTCTCAAGTGCATCGACATATACCTATTTTTAATGCAAGGGGTAAGCTAATGAAATTTGTTTAAAAAATGCATGCATTCGTTCCAAGTGATTGCTGTATCTTCTTTTAAACATAAATTCAGCTAAATCTCCTAAATGATGAGATCTTCTAGTTCCGAACCGTGGCATAAATAAATCAGTATTAAGGTTTGCTCCAACCTCATCAGTTTTACCTGAAAATCGGTTTTTTTTTTTATCATAAATTTGAAAAACTTCAGTTTGAATCGTAAACATCAGTTAAGAATTAGCTATCTACCATCCAAGTATTGTTGTCCAATACTATTTTGAGGATGAACAAATGTTTTCGACTGAACAGATGTTTGTTGTATAAACTCTTGTAATTTTAAGCAATCATAAGTTTTCCAACAGTTTGATATGATAACCGATCCTGGTAAAATCCAATCATTAATAACTGTTAACAAACTCCAAGAATCGCATGCAGGAACAGGTACAATAAATATTTTCCCATTTTCTTTATCTTTTTCCATTCCCCAAAAAGAAAATTTATTTCTAAAAGAGGAAAATCAAATATTTCTATAAATCAATTAAAACTGATATTGCTTCGATTTTAAGTATGATGAAAATTACATGTTGTCATTTTGCTTAGATTCCTTGCCATCTTGAATTTTCACTTCATCAACTTGAACCATTACACCATCCCCACCAATTTTTTCAGAAACTGATTTTGCCCAATGAATACAAATATCTCTACAAGCTGTCGACCAATCGACTACAGTTCTAGTTGCTAAACTTAATTCATTCCTTAAAAATTCCTGAGTAGGGTGTTTTAAACAACACCAGAAAACGACAAATTTACAAACAGTATCTATTGGCAATTTACTTTTTTCAAAAAAAGTTCCTTTTTTCATAGAAACTTTAAAATTACATCTTTTTTTTTGTATTTTTATCTTTTCAGAATTATTTATTATTTTTTTAGGTACTTTTGTCGGAGGCTCATTATTTTCCGTTCCAAGTACTTCTGCAGTTATATTATGTGAAACAGTTGCCGATACATCCGACTGAAATATAATAAAAAATATCTGCTAAAAAGAAATTACAATTATTTTAAACTGTAAGTATTTTTATTATAATTATTATTACTGGTTTTTCACTTAGAAGAAATGTGCTATTATGTTCTCTGTTATTGCTTATATGAGATTCCTCAGATTGATTGATAGTTGGTAAAGTTTTCTCATTAGAATTTAATTCATTTCGACTAGGCACAACACTAGGTATAGGTGCAAAAGTGTAATTGTTTGAATTATTTTCAATACACTCTGAAGTAGGTATGTCAGACTGTTGAAGTCTGTGATTATTATTATTATTATTAAGCAGCAATAAATTTTCTGAATTTACTGAACAGTGAGGAAGAGTGTGTTTTTGTTGAGAAAATTCAGGTAAATTTAAAGATGATATACACTGATTAGTACTTAAATTATCTAACTGATGAATAACTTGACCTTTTAAATTAGACCTAAAAAAAAAAAAAAAAAAAAAAGTAAAGTCAATTTTTTTCCCCGAGGAAAAAAATAAATAAATTTTATGTACAAATATGTAATAGGATTAATAATTAAATAATATATTATTAAATTGAAATTACATTCATGCACAAAATGTTATGATATTTACAATATTTTTATGAGAAATTACATACTGTATTTCGGAATATGTTTGTGGAACATTTAACAAATTATTTTTTTGTTCAGACAAATTTTGAATTTGTCGTGTTGTAACAGGAATATCCAATGCATTTCTATTACATCTAAAAAATAAATCTTTGTCCCCTATAGCACACTTTCTACCACATTTTTCGCAAGAATACGTTTTTTTAAGACAACCATGTCGCCATAAAAATTGTAATATTTTTGATAAATTTTCAGTAAGGCAAACAAATGAACATAAAGTGTAATAACATCCTTGACATTCAATATCCATTACATTTCATTCAAAATCTATTTATTTTAATCCGCATCCATTTTTTTTTTTTTTTTTTTTCTAATTTACTCAAAATAAGTGTTTAGTAAGATTGGTAGTTTAGGTTAAGAACTTCACGAATTATTATTACTAAAGGCTAATAGTCAACAATAGTCAAAATTAATAAATAATTAAAAAAATGTTATAAAAAAAAAAAAAATTCGTATGAAAAATAAAATAAAAGAAAATAATTAATGTTAAAAACACAAAATATAAGTAATATTAATATAATTTTTTTTTTAAGCTCACATTTTCCCTTTTATTAAAAACAATACATAATTAAAAAATTTTATGTTAGTCAAAAACGTTTACCCATTAAAAAATATCCCCTCAATATAAATAATTAATAGTTTTTTATAACAAAATTATTTTTTTATTTATCTACTTTGACTTATCAGATAGACTCTCTTTGAGACCGATGATGTTTACATTCGAGCTTAATAATAATAGCCAACCTTTGAATGTGAAACAAAAGTTTTCTGAAACTTTTTGTAAGTTGTCTTAAAATTTTTGAAATCTATTAATTATTTTTTTTTAAGAATAATAAAATAATCTTTTGTATTTTAATATAGTCAATTTATTACTTTTTATATCGACGAAAAAAAAAAAGGATAAAATTTAATTTATTTAAAAAATATAAAATTTCATAAAACTTTAACCAACTTATGAATATTAAGGTTGTCGGTTATTGGCCAATTACTCAGCATTAGAAAAATTTAGTTTTTTGAGTAACAATATTTTGTTTTTAAGTACATTTACTTTCAAAAAGAAAAATTCATATATAAATTACATTTAAAAAATTTTTAAAACCGAATAAACTTTATTTTTTTTATTAGTAATTTAGAAAATCGTATATTAATATTGGTTAATTTTTATTTTGGATATATCACACAATCACGGGATATCATCCTTTAATATCTAAAATATAAGCAATTATTAATATATAATTTCTGAAAAAAAAAAAAAAAAAAAAACTGCCTACAAAACTTCTATTAAGATTTTAATGTTTTATAATTGTAAATTTTATTAGCTGCAAAAATTAGGTGGTTACGGAAACTTCATATTTTTAAAATGTCCGATGTACTGGATTGTGAATTTCCCGTATGGGGATTGCTACCTAAGAAAGAAACAGGAGCCTATCAATTTTTATCTAGGTATCCTGAATACGATGGTAGGGGCATCGTAATTGCAATTTTCGATTCGGGAGTTGATCCTGGTGCTGCCGGACTAAAGGTAAATAATAAAATATTAATCTCTGAATATTTATAACCTCAAAAAATTTTATTTATTTCAAAAATTATGTGATTAACATTAAAATGTACATTGTAATTTATTTTTGCTTTATTGAATGCAAAAAAATCAAAATTTTACTTTTTTTACATTATCTAAATGTAGTATATTCTGTATCAATCATTTGTTAAAATTATAAGTAATTAATGAATCTTGTAAATTAATTTTAGACGACAAGTGATGGAAAGGTGAAACTCATTGAAAGATTTGATTGTAGTGGAGCTGGGGATGTTAATACTTCGACAATAGTAGAAGCCAAAAATGGAGAAATAACAGGTTAAGGATATTATGAACAATTTTTATTTTCTGCAATATAACAATAATTTTTAGTTTTTAGTATTAAATTTTATTTTAATGTAGGTCTTACTGGAAGAACATTAAAAATCCCTAGCGTGTGGAAAAACCCTAGCGGAAAATTTCATATTGGAATAAAAAATTTGTTTGATTTGTATCCTAAAAGTCTTTTAGAAAGAATGGAAAAAGAAAGAAAAGAAAAATTGTGGGATCCAATTCATAAAACAGTTTCTGCTGAAGCTTCTAGAAAATTACAAGTACGAATATAATTCTTTATGAAAAACCACATATTTTGTTATGCTTTATATGGTTGATAATATAAAATACATTTTATTTATTTTTTTAAACAGGAATTTGAGAGTAAAAATAGTTCAACAACTCTTGGCTCTTTTGAAAAACTAGTTAAACAAAACTTGGAAGCTAAAAATGAAGTTCTATCTTATCTTGAAAAGAAATTTAAGGATGTGGGTCCGGCAAGCGATTGTGTAGTTTTCCACGATGGAACAATGTGGAGGTTAGTATTCTTTCAAATTACATTTTTTCATATATATTTATTTAAATCAGCTAATAATTTCTTATTAAAAAAATGTGGACTTTTAGGGCTTGCATAGATACTACAGAAAAAGGAAAACTATCTGAATGTACTTTATTAGGCGAATATTCTCAGACTCATGAATATGGTACACTGACCAACGATGACCAATTAAATTATTCTGTAAATGTACACAATGAAGGAAATATATTGGAAATAGTTAGCTTGTGCTGTAAGTAAAAAATTTATTTTATCTAATTTAAATTAATTTCATTAATAACTTACAATTTTATTTATTTATTTTTTTTTTTTAAAGCTGGTCATGGAACCCATGTCGCTTCGATTGCTTCAGCTTACTTTCCAGATGAACCAGAAAAAAATGGAATCGCACCTGGAGCACAAATTATATCTTTGTGTTTAGGTAAGTAATAATAATAATAATTAAAAATTTTTTTTTTTTTTTTTACACTTTTCAAGAATTCTAAGTTTTAAAATATTTTTTTTTTAGCCGATAATAGAATTGGTTCAATGGAAACAGGAACTGCTCTTGTTAGAGCAATGATTAAAGTAATGCAGTTGTCTGAAAAAATGCCTATTCACGTAATTAATATGAGTTATGGAGAACACGCTCATTTTTCATCTTCTGGGTTAGTCATTGCTTGGTTTTTAAATTTAAAGAAAAATTTCATAAGATTTTAAAAAATGTTAATAATTTTTTAAAGGCGAATAGGATCACTCATGAACGAAGTGGTATCCAATTACAACGTAACATGGGTTTCATCGGCAGGTAATCACGGTCCTGCTTTAAGCACTATTGTAACGCCACCCGATATTAGCACTAATTGCATCGTTGGTAAGTTTCATTACATTAACTTTCGTTACATGTAAAAGTATATAACTAACCTTTTCTGATGGTTTTACCAGGAGTGGGAGCTTACGTATCTCCTGAAATGATGATAGCGGAATATTCAATGCGTGAAAAACTTCCCGGAATGCCGTACACGTGGTCATCCAGAGGTCCGACCATTGATGGTGATAAAGGTGTAACGGTCTGTGCTCCCGGAGGAGCTATTACAAGTATGGCTTGTTACACACTTAGAGGTTGTCAACAATTAAACGGAACTAGTATGGCAGCACCGCACGTCGCGGGTGCCGTAGGTCGGTTGTTATAAAATTACATTGCATTACAATTAAGTTAGATAATAATAAGTTGAGTAAATGACAAAATGCTTTATTTTTAATTTCAGCCATTCTTTTATCGGGATTAAAACAAAAAAATTTAAAATTTTCCGCATACAGTGTAAAACGTGCATTAGAAAATTCAGCTTTGTTTTTAACTGATACTGATGAATTTGCTCAGGGTTTTGGTTTGCTACAAGTAAAAAATTTTTTAATTTTTAATTTTTTTAGTGTTTGTTTGATTTTTTAAAACTCTGTAAAATTCATTTTAAATATTTTTTTTTTTTACAGGTGGAAAAAGCTTTTGAATATTTATGTTTGTATAGCGATTCTTTAGAAAGGGATATTAGGTTTTCCGTTCATAGCAGTTCGAATAACGCAAAAGGTATCCACATAAGAAAATCCATCCTGGATAAGCCAATGGAATTCACCGTAAATGTAGAACCTGTTTTTCCTAAAGATACCGGTTAGTTCATATTCTCGTCGGTTTTTCACTTGTTAAAATAATCAAAAAGTAATTATTAATTTTATTTTTTTTTTTAGATAATAAATTTAAGATTGATTTCAACATGAGGTTTTCTTTGGTTTGTAAAGAACCCTGGGTTCAAGCTTCTAGTCACTTGGATCTAATGAATATTTCCAGAATGTTATCCGTTCGTATAGATCCTGGATTTTTGTCCGAAGGAGTTCATACTTCTCTGTAAGATTAAATGCGATACATTATTAATCGTTTTCCGATTGAAAAATTTTTGTTTTTTTTTTTTTCGAATAGTATTCGAGCGTACGATGTTGCTTGCCCTGATAAAGGAGTCATTTTTTACGTGCCCATCACCGTGGTCAAACCACTTCAAATTAACAACGATTTGAATCCTTCTTTGCATTTTCAAGATGTTAATTTCAAACCAAATACAATCAAACGTCATTTTATCCATGTTCCGGACAAGGTTACTTGGGCAAGTAAGTAAAAAAATTAGTAATTTCAGCTTTTCTTCGATGAATATTTTCATTTTTTTAAATTCAATTTTTTTTTTGTTCAGATTTTATCATTCGGAATAAAGAACACGATAAAACTGGGAAATTTGTTCTTCACTTTTTGCAATTAAAACCGAAAACCGTTTGCAAATCGTTAGAGTTTCATCGGTTTATAAATATAAATTCAAACGCAGAATCTACGTACAGCTTTTCTTGCAAGGTAAATTTTTTTTTTTTTAGCTTCACGTGTACGAGGGCGATAAATACACGTGTAATTATTTTTTATTTTTAGGGTGGCCTCGTTTTAGAAGTAGTAGTCGCCAAGTATTGGGCAAATTTAGGTGAAATCACGATTGATTACTCTATAGAATTTCACGGGGTCAAACCCGACAACTCGGTCGTCACTATGCAGGGAGCCGATGGTATCCATTCTTTAGAATTACATTCCGGAGTTAGATTAGAAGAAATAGCACCCGCGATCACGTTAAAAAATTTAGTAACGGTTTACAGGTATTTCCCCTCTTATTTTACTTATCCTTTAGCTCCCCATAAAACGTATCCATAATTAACGTGTATTAATTTTTTTAAAAACGTAGGCCGAACGAAAGTAAAATCTCTCCATTGTGTTCTCTCCGAGACGTCATTCCACCATCGAGACAAATATACGAAAATGTTTTAACGTATAATTTTCATTTAAATAAAGCAACGGAAATATCCCCGAACGTTTCACTTCTCAGCGATTTGCTGTACGAAAGCGAATTCGAATCTCAACTTTGGATGCTTTTTGACAGTAACAAACAATATTTAGGATCTGGAGATGCTTATCCATCCAAGGTAATTGAAAAAATATATATATAATAGTTGCAGGTGAAAATAAAATAAAAAAAATTTTTTTTTTTTTTTTTTTAGTATTCGATGAAAGTTGAAAAAGGGGATTACACGTTGAAAATGCACGTGCGTCACGAAAAAAAAGATTTATTGGAAAAACTTTCGGATTTGCCCCTTTTATTGTCTCAGAAATTGTCCTCGTCGGTGTCGTTGGATGTTTATGCTAGTCAATCCCAGGCATTGATATACGGTAAAAAAATGGGAAGCGTAATCATGCCTCACGGTGGATACATACTTCCAATTTATATTGCTCCCTTAAATTCCGAAAGGTTATTATTATTATTATTAGTTTTAAATAAATGTGGATTCGATTAAAAGTAATAAAATGTAATATTATTATATTTCAAGGCCGAATAAAGAATTTCATCCGGGTCATTACTTATCCGGAACGATTTCTTACACAAAAGACGAAAATGGGAAAAAAGCCGACGTGTATCCTTTTAAATATATTTTACCGGAACCTGGTAAGAAAACTTCCGGAAACGAGGAAAATAAAGAACAGGATAAAGACAAAACTAAGTATGCGGAATACAAAGAAAGTTTAAGAGATTTAAAAATCAATTGGCTCGGGAAGGTGGGTAAGTAAAATATTAATTTAAAATTTTTAGAAAAAGATATTAAAATAAAAACTTGAACTTTGAACTCGTTATTGATACTTTTTTTTTTTACTATTACAGAGTACGGAACGGAAGCGGAAGCTTTATACGAAGAGTTGAAGAATTTGTATCCGGATAATCTTACCGTTCACACGTCCATGTTGCAATGTTTGGAACCGAACGAACTTAAAAATGTCGGCTTGTTGCCGTTAATGTCGTCGGATCTCACCCCTGAGGTATAAATTTATTATTATTATTATTACTTCTTCACTCCATCGTTATAACCAATGAAAGTTTTTTTTTTTTTTTTTTATAAGGTAAAAGAAGAAATGGCTGAAAAAGCAAGAAAAATAATTTCCGTCGCCGACGAGATAATAAACTCTGTCGACGGTCCTCAAATACTTGCTTACATGGGAATGAAAAACGATTCGAGACCGGATGCGCAGAAAATCAAAACGTAAGGAAAAGTTTAAAATTAAACAAAATCGAACCGGAAGTTGTCATAATTTTCTTATTTTTCAGGAAAATGAACGAACAAAAATTAGCATTGATAGATGCTTATTGTAGAAAAGGTTGCGCTCTCTGTCGTTTGTTTTACATAGAAGAATCATCGGATTCGAGAGAGGATTTCGGGGATAGTCCCGTGGGAGGAAATGAAAATTCCAATTGGCAAGCGGCAAATAATATATGGAAAGAATTGATGAAATTCACCGACGTCACAGACATGAACGTAAATAATTTTCTAGAATTTTCCACGATTGATACGTTTATGATCCTTTTTTCATAATTTTTTTTTAAAATGTTATTTCAGATAATGTATTTCATGATGTGGCATTCGGCAGCTTGCGGACATTATGCAAGATTGGCCAAATATTTACACAAATTACAAGAGCGTAAATCGTGTAAGGAAATTGATTTGAAATTGATCGAAGTTTACAGGAAGCTGGGTTGGGATCATTGCGAAAAATTTCTCACGTCGTGGATTCCGGTTAAATATCCACATTCTTATCGCACATTTTGATTTATAGAAAATAATTTTATTATTATTTTTTTGTCATTAAACACAATTACATTTCTTTAATTAATAATTATTAATTAACGAAAATAATTTAATTTAACAAAAAAAAAGGAGATAATATTTAAAAAAATGTAAAAACTATCAACAGTTATTATGTCAGTATTTTTTTTTTCCACATTTAAATTACACTTTACACAATTAAATAAATAACTAAAAAATAATTTATTAATTAATTTTTTCTTTTCTTTTTTTTCTTTTTCTTTTTGTTAACAATAAGAAAATTCTAGAAGGTTTTCGATCACGGTAATCATCGGTAATTAATTATTTTAAAAAAAAAAAAATTTATAAAATGTTATAATAAATTAACATGTAAATATTTAATTAATTAATATAAATGAGTTCTTGGTGTATACTTATTATTATTATCATAAAGAAATTTAAATTTAATTTAAATAGAGAGAGATAGAGAGTGAGAGAGAGAGAGAGAGAGACATTTCACATTTGATACTATTTTTTTCTTTTCCAGGTTAAAAATTTTCTTTTTTTTTTATTTTTTAATCCAATTTCGACGAATTTATATTATTATTATTATTATCGAATTGTTTATTAATATTTTCTCTTAATAAGGGATAAAAATTTTGAAAAATAATAATAATAATTAATTTAGGATTTAATTTAGGAAAATTTAATTTTTTTTTTACGGGTGATGGAAAATTATCGAATAAAAAAATATTTTCGGAGGATTTTTTGAATTTATTTTTATTATTATTAAAAAATTAATAATAATAACAATAATTTTATTTATTTATTTACATAAAAAATTTTTCATCATTATTTTGTTTATTTTTTTATTAAAAAAAAAAAAAAAAAAAATTTTTTTTTTTGTTAATGCCAAAACAAATATTTCATTTATATTTACATTTTATTAAAAGAAAAAAATTTATTTTTATTTAAAATATATAAAATACAGATTCTTTTACTTATGTATACATAATAATAATAATAATAATAATATATTTTTTCGTATGAAAAATAAATAAAATTTTATAAAGACGATTCGGCCAAAAAAAAAAAAAAAAAATTGATTAAAGCCAAATCGATAATTGAAAAGATAAAAAAAATTATTAATTAATCGATATGTGCTATTAATATTAAATCATGTCAAATGTTTTCTTATAATAATTTTATTTAAAAAAAAAAAAGCAATCAATTTAACATAAGTTAACGTATCGTTCAATTTAAAATTTATGTGATGTAGAAATCTTTTTATAATTATTTATTGTGACATAAGGACGGTTATGCGACGCATTAGGCGAATTTTTGTTCTATGCGCACTTATGGTTAGGGCTGCATCGACGCTTATATGACTTCGAATGGGGGGAAAATTTTTTTTTTTTTTTTTTTTTTTTTTTTTCCTCTAATGAAAACGCAGCCGATCGTTATTTTGAGATCAGTATGTATTTTTATACGTCGTCGATGACGTGCGCGATTTTATAGTTTTTCATCTTCATATTTATTTAAATAACCATAATAATAATAATAATAAAAAGAAAATTTCAACCCGAACGATCGGAAAATAAGAAAAAAAAAAAAATGGAAAATATAAATAATAACTATAATATACAACATAGTTTAGTTTATTGATTACAAAATACATAATTTTCTTATTAACTTTTAAAATTATATATATACATACATTATTTGTAATAATAATAATAATAATAATTAAATTAAAAGGTAATTTTATTAAAAATAACTAATAATAATAATAATTTTCCATCAATATTTAAAAATGTTTGTTTTTATTCGCGACATTTATATTTTACAGCTTTGATTTTTTTTTTTTTTTTATTTAAATAATTTATTTATTAATCGTGATTAATGTTAATAATAATAATAAATAACTAAATTTATTAAAAGTGATTAAATAAACGAAAAAAAATTTTATTTTGTGTGTTTTATGTACGTACATGTTATCAGCGCCGAATCGTTTTTTTTTTTTTTTTTATTTATTCTTATCGGTTATTCAATTTGCCAAACATATATATTATTAAAATATAAATATTATTAATTAATAAGTTTATTTATTTATTAATAAAATTTATTTATTTTTATGTCGTTAGAAAATGTTTGAAAAAAAAAAAAAAAATTAAAATTTTTTTATTTATTTTGGATATTTTTATTTTTGGATACAAAATTTGTGTTTGTTTGTGTTTGTTTTAATTTTTTACTTAATTTTTATTAATTTATTTAATTATTATACATAAAAAAAACAACAATAATAATAATATTAATAATATTAATAATAATTATTATTGATTTGTATTATTTTTCTATGATTTTGAAATTAAAATTAATTTTATTTGATTTGATTTAAAAATTATTATTATTATTGTTGTTGTTGTTGTACAATCAATGAATTGTTTAAATAAGGAAAATTATTTTCATTTTCATACATAAAATATTATTAAAATAATTTAATAATTTTAATAGGTTAAGTAATTTGTAAAAATGTGTGTGAAAATTTATTTATGAAAATTGTGGAAAATCATCATGTGTCTCAATTGGAAAAATTATTTTCTTTTTGTTTGTTTTATATTTACATGGTGTTATGCACATATTAATGTTTGTTTGTTTGTTTGTTTGTTGTAGTTATGGTTGATGACAAAGGAGCATTGGATTTAAACACCCTTTGTAGGATATGCAGTGGTGATTTACAAAATCAGGGTGTTGGTATATTTTCACCAGAATGTATGGAAAATTTAGTCGGTGAAAAAATTCGAAGATATTTATATTTTTCCGTGAGTTTTCTTTTATCATTTCCCCTCCCCACCCCCAAAATTATTATTATTTTACTATATAATCAAACAAAACCAAAAATCATTACAAACAATCCATCATCCATCATTCATTCATTCATTCATTTTTTTTT